TCAAAAAAAAAAAAAAAAAAACCAGGCAAGTTTAAAAAAGCTGTCTCCTGGTGGTGTCCATAGCCGGCCATGTACACTGAGGCTGGCAGGTTCAAACCTGGCCTGCGCCTGCTAAAACGACAACTGCAAGAAAAAAATAGGCAGTCACTGTGGTAGGCACCTGTAGTCCCAGCTACTTGGAAGGCTGAGGCAAGAGAATGGCTTAAGCCCAAGAGTTGGAGGTGACTGTGAGCTGTGATGCTACGGCACTCTACCCAGGGCAACAGCTTAAGACTCTGTCGCAAAAAAAAAAAAAAAAAAAAAAAATCTGTCACCTTTCTTCTTCTATGTATACATCAGCTGCTGGAACTAGATAGGTTATGTAAGAAAAAAAGAATTACTATGATCGTCCCAAAGGTACTCTTAGTTTTCTGGTATGATCTCACCCACTGAAATACATCCAACATCCCTAGCAGCTGAGTTTGCTATCCACTGGTTCACCAGTAGCTGGTTTATTTGTAGCAAAAACCTACATTCTCCCACTTGCTTTCCTTCCTCATATTGTGGAAAGTCAGGCTTACAGCACTAGACAGAAGCTGCTGGATGGAGCCTGACATGGTATCTCATGCCTGTAATTCTAGTGCTTAGGAAGGCCAAGGCAGAACAATCACTTGAGATGAAGAGTTTAAGACCAGTGTGAACAACCCAGCAAGACTCCATCTCTACAAAAAGTAGATCAATGAGCAAGATGTGGTGGCATATATGACTACAGTCCCAGCTACTAGGGAGGCTGAGGCAGGAGAGAGATAACTTGAGTTCAGAGGTTGCAGTGAGCTATGAAGATGCTACTCTGCCCTCATGCCAGGCAACAGTGTCTCACTTTATCACCTTCAGTAGAGTGCTGTAGCGTCACAGCTCACAGCAACCACCAACTCCTGGGCTTAGGCTATTCTCTTGCCTTAGCCTCCCAAGTGGCTGGGACCACAGGTGCTTGCCACAGTGCCCGGCTATTTTTTGTTGCAGTTTGGCTGGGGCTATGTTTGAACTTGACACCCTTGGTATCTGGGGCCTGCACCCTACCCACTGAGCCACAGGTGCTGCCCTGTCTCAAAAAAAAAAAAGGAAAAGAGGATAAAAAAGTGTTGGAAAATAAAATGTCATAACTTATGTCAAAAAACATTAAAACAGGCTCGGCACCTGTGGCTCAAGTGGCTAAGGCACCAGCCACATACACCTAAGAGATTGCTGTGAAGCGTGATGCCATGGCACTCTACCCAGGGGGATAGCTTGAGGTTCCGTCTCAAAAAAAAAAAAAAAAAAAAACATTAAAACAGGCGGCCCCCGTAGCTCAGTGGGTAGGGTACCACCCACATACACAGAGGCTGGTGGGTTAGAACCCACCTAGGCCAGCTAAACAATGACAACAACAACAAAAAATAGTCAGATGTTGTGTCAGGAGCCTGTAGTCCCAGCTACTTGGGAGGCTGAGACGTGAGAATCACTTAAGCCCAAGAACTCTCTAACCAGGGTGATAGCTTGAGACTCTGTCTCAGGAAAAAAAAAAAAAAAGGGCGGTACCTGTGGCTCAGTGGGTAGGGCACAGGCCCCGGATACCAAGGGTGTCAGGTTCAAACACAGCCCTGACCAAACTGCAACAAAAAATAGCCAGGCGCTGTGGCAAGCACCTGTGGTCCCAGCCACCCGGGAGGCTAAGGCAAGAGAATCGCCTAAGCCCAGGAGTGGAGGTTGCTGTGAGCTGTGACGCCACAGCACTCTACTGAAGGTGATGAAGTGAGACTCTGTCTC